ATTGCCTAAAATATGGGCATTGTACTTAAAAAAGGAAACTGTGTATGCAGACTCAGTATTATATGTCTTTGGACCAACAGGTGGACATTTAAAATGAAACTTCTTTAATCTGACAGGATCAGCTGTAACACCCTATATTTTAAACTTTTCCCTTTTCTTTTTTCCAATAAAGTTGTAAATAAAAATCATCATACATTAAAATCCACACCCCCATAAAAAGAGAGAACAAGAATCAACTACATATCTAAAAGAAAATCCACTTAAATATAGTGACATAGTTTAACTGTAACATGATGGGAAAAGATATATCATACAAAATCAAAAGAAAGCTAGAGTACTAATATTAATATCTTACAAAGTAGATTTCAAAACAAACATTAATGCTATGGATACAGAAGAATACATCATAATGATAAAGGGGTAAATTCCCCAAGAAGACATAACAATCCTAAACTTGTATGCAACTAACAATGAAGTTTCAAAATACAGGAAACAATACTAAAAAGAGAAACCAACAAATCCACAATGATAGCTGAAAATTACAATAATCCTTATTCAGTAACGGATAAAACGAGTAGATAGAAAATCAGAGACTCTAGGAGACATGAACAATACCATCAATCATCTTGACCTGATGGCTGTTGGTAGAACTCTTTATGCAACAGAAGCAAAATACACATTCTTTTCAAGTGTATATAGAACATATACTAAGGCGAGCCATTTCCTATATTAAGGCGAACCACAAAACAAATTGGAATACATTTTAAAGGGTTAATATCATATAAACTATGTTTTCCAACCACAAGTCCATTAATTTAGGAGTCAATAACAGAAAGATGTCCGAAAAATCCATATATTTCGAAATTCAACAACACACTTCAAAATAATCTCTGAGTTAAAGAAGAAATCACAAGGGGAATTAAAAACATTTTGCAATAAAAACACAGCATATCAAAATTTGCAAAGCATGGCTAAAAGTCTTTAGACAGAAACTTACAGCACTAGTGCTTATATTAGAAAAAGAGAAAGGTCTCAAAGCAATAATTTTAGCTTCCTCCTAAAGAAAATAGAAAAAAAAGGGGCACATTAAACTCAAAAGAAGCAGAATAAAATACTATAGAGCAGAATTAATAAATTTGAACACAGAAAAACAATACAAAAAATCCCATGAAACCAAAAGCCAGTTCTTTAAAAAATTTCAATAACATTGATAAATCTCCAGCCAGACTAATCAAGGAAAAAAGAGAGAGACACAAATTACCAGTATCAGAAATAAAAGCGAGGTCATCACTTCATATACTACAAACACTATAACGACAGTATCGTTATTTATTTAGCTACTGAAATTGTTCCTGCTTTTACCGCTGGGAATTCCTTAAGGTTCGCTCCTGAGGCCTATTAACATGGCCCTTTCTGTCTATCTTTCTTTGGTTTTTACTTTTTGGAAAATTCCTTAGGTTCATCTTTTCTTCTCCTCATTTCAGCTCTGGAATCAGCCACTTCTCCAAGTAGCCTTGATTCCTTTTATTGGAGAATGATATTTAGAAACCAATATCTCAGTGCTAGCTGTGATCATGAACATCACGTTTAATAGTAAAAGACGTTTTCTCCCTAAGATCAGGAACAAAGCCAGGATGCCCTCTCTCATCACCTCTGTTACACACTGTAGTGGAAGTCCTAGCCAGTAGAATAAGGCAAAAGAAAGAAAAATACATACAGATTGAAAATGAAATAAAACTTTTTATTTACAGGTGATATGATCATCCATGCAAAGACTCTAAGGAAGCTACGGAAAAAGGCTATTAAGACAAATAAGTGAGTTTTGCAAGCGTGCAGGATACAAGGTCAATATACAAAAATAAACTATATTTCTGTATACTGGCAGCGAATTATGTGAAAATGAAATGTAAAAATACCATTTACATCAGAATATATGATATACTTAAAGATAAATCTTTAAAAAATAAGTTTGATTCATTGAAAATTATGAAGCATTACTGAGAGAAAGTAAAGAAGACCTAAATCAATGAAGAGACACATTGCGTTCATGGATCTGAAGGCTCAGTACTGTTCAAATGTCAATTGTCCCCAAATTTATTTACAGATTCAACATAATCACACAAAATCCCAGCAGGTTTGTTTTGTAGAAGTTGACAAGCTGAGTCAACTTCTCAGCTTGAGTGTAAAACTCATATAGAAATTTATCTGGATAAATTCATGTTGAGAACATCCTGCCCATCAATTTTAAAGCTCGAAGGCACTTCTGAGACCATAATTTTATATGTGAGTAAAATGACTTGTCCATTTCTACCCTGGGAAGGAAAAGCAAGTTCAGGGCAAGGATTTCCACGTTTCAGTGCTGTGCTCTTCAGAGGCACATCAGACACTCATCATGAAGAGTAATTCATTTATTACTTTGCCTAAGGAGAGATTTAGATTTTTCCTAAAGATACTTCATCTCTAGATTTGCCACAATATATAGGAAAGTGGCCAATAATCATATAATAATAAACTATCTCCCAAAGCATACTAAAACTGTAATTCAAAGTGCCTGATCTTACGGACGAATTAAGCTCTTATGAATAAGTTGCACATTTTAAGGATATAAAGGCCTTATAAAAATGTCTGATTTTATAAATTACTTTATAATTTGTACTGTCGAAAGCACTAGAATTTTGACTGATTTCATTAAAATAGCTACTGGTATCAACATTCCCATAATTATTTCCTTGTTTATTAGTGATACGCTACAATCCCAAACAGGCCCAAATCACATTTTCACAGCTGTTTAGAAGGAGGCTCAACATGTGAGGATGCTGCTCTCACGCTGTTTCAAGTACGGAAGGATGGCTGAAAACGGTGCCTCTCTGACACCCAGGAGACCCGAGGAGACCCGACGCGGGCATCAGTCTATGATTAATTCCATTGTTCATGGCAACTTTAGAATTTCTGTGGTTGTGCTTCTCTGTGCAAAATACTTAACCTTTGCTCAAAGTAAGTATCATCTATTTTTAATCAATTTTAACAATTTAAACTCATTTCTCCACACACATCATCTGAAGCTGTGTTTCGGTGGTTCCCTCTCCCCGCTGTCCTACCTGGGGACGCTGATTCCATTCAGCACAAGGCAGCTGCCTGGGTGTCTAATGTCACCCCTGCTCTGGACGTGTCTGGAGCAGAGACAGGTAAGCCTGGCTTCTCACTGTTGTGCTAGTTGGGGTCTCAGAGCTTTCTCCAGGTGACCCCAAACTACCATGTAACATGAAGAACTGGACTCAAGCAGAAATCTTTGTAGCATATCTTAGTCTCCTGATCGGACTGAAGAGGCCATATTTTGCCTGTTCTTTAAGTTAACAATATCACACTAGTGCTCTATAATTGTCTCTTAAAGAATTTCTTTTTTTTTTTTCTTTTTGATCGAGTCTTTCTTCAACAGGGATATTTAGATGTAGCTTGCAGCCTTGTGCACCAAAGAACACCTCTGACCACGTGTTATTTCTGGGAGACATGACAAGACCTGGGGCTTTTTCAGGCTCTTCTGTAGTGTTAACATGATAAAAACAGTACATAGTTCATTAGGGGCTGTATATCGTGCATCTCATAAGGAACATCATCAGTGTTATAAAGCGGATGTATAACTGCCCACAGGAAGTGAATCACATTGAGGGCATTTAAGGATGGTCACGCTCCTCTTAAGGGTTGACAAGGATCCAATGCTCACCCAGCAGTGCTTTATACATGGTACAAACTCAAGGGCTGGGAGTTTAACTGAAGTTTGAGTAAAAGCAGTTAATATGGTGCAACTATTTTAAACACCTAGTTACAAGAAATGCTTAGAAAATCACTACACTCCCCCTTACCATAACATAATACTTCTCTTACTTCCTTACAACTCATATGATATCATCCTACCTTTGCTTTAGGGACTAATAGAGAATATTCGGCACAAAACAGACACTTCATAAACGTTGACTGACACATCTTTCAGAGAAAATATGGAAAGCTGGAATAAACTGAAATGGAAGGACAAACTACACAAAATAACTGGGTAAAAATTCTAAGCAAATACTGGATCACATAAAAATTTCACAATAAAAAATGTTATATGAGCATTTGAAAATCAAAAAAATCAAAACAGTATCTATGCTTACAATATCTGAAGTAGTAAAAATAAAATAAGCAAAAACTTAAAAGAGAACTGACACAATAATTCCCTGTCCCAAATTGAAGCAGAAACTTCAGTATTAAAAACAAATAATAATCACAGTACAATAAAAATAAAGTTATATAATTTGTAGCATCCATTTCACAGGTATTAAAGTTCTGTTTCATTGTGAGCGGCCGTCCAGAAGCCGGCGACTGATCTGCCTCGCCCTGGAAGAGCGCAATGATGGTGCCAACTTGGGCCAGTGAAGCAACGTCCTCCACAACTAGACTGAAGAACAAAACGACAGCAACTTGTCTGTTCCCCTCCCCCAATTCCCCAATAAAACTTAAAAAAAAAAAAGTTCTGTTTCAAGTAACAGAAAAGTCCGAAATAAGACAAATAAATTTACCAATTTGTTAAGTGTTAAAACTAAGTTGCTTTAAATTCCTTTTAAAATAAAGGTTTGTATAAATATATCTGAAGAGTTCATTTTAAAATTTAAAGGCTTGAGGAGAATTTTAAAGATTATGAATTTCTTTTTGGTAGTTTTCCTAAAGAATAATCTAACACTGGTGTCTTTATATTTTCTGAATTAAGGAAACAATGAGAAGCAAAATAATAAAGAGAAAAATCAACTGTTTTACCATATTGAATACAATTTCAAGATGCATTTTGGGAATCAAAATTATCAATAAAACTTTGTGCTGAGAAGTTCAATATTCAATTAAACAATAGAGTAAAAATGAAAAATAACATTATATCATTAAATTTCAGTCACTTAAAAAAATTTTTTTTCTGTAAATTTCTTTTAGCCAAAGTATATAAACACCATGATGTCATGAAGATAACCTACCTTTTTATCGTATACATCTTGCCAATTTACTCCAGAGAAGAAACTGTGTCTCATAATTTCTTTTGCATCATCTGGTCCTCCACCAAGGCTATGAGGACAAAAATAAAACTAAATGAGTATAAAACATTTATATAAGCCTAACACATAACAAAAAGTTTTTGTGAAATATAGTTTTCTGTGTGATAAATAACCATAAAACTAAACAGCTTTTTCTATAAAATCTAACTTCCCTAATACATTATTAATAAGAACTAGATTGAGGGCAGTATGTTATCTGAAAAGAGACGAACCTGAAACAGGCAACCAGCTCTGGAATTTACGAGACGTGTGACAATGAGAAAGTTGCTTACTCTCTGTTTTCTCATCTGTAGAATGGGAATAATAATACTAACCCGGTGGATTATGGCAAGGGTTAGAAATAACATAGGCAAGCATGTAGCCCAATGAATGGTAGCTGTTATCATTGTCAATTCTATAAACCAAATTTATTTCAGAAAGACAAGTCAAAAAAGTACCCTTGTTAACATATATTCTGAATTGGCTAAATTGGTTAGACAAACAATTTGTACAGCTTTTCTAACAGAAACTCATGGACTATTTTTGTATCACAAATGCATTTCCACAGAAATGATATTGTTAATCTAGGAAATCATTACAATGTAATTTGTTAAGCAAGTTTCAATATAAATTAAAATTTTAAAAATACTCCCTCACCCTCCATCTTTGGAGGTACTCTTATCTGATACCGGACACAATATGAAACTCAGGTGTTTCCTGGCTTCCTCAAGTCATATAGTACACACTAATTATGATGAAGAAAGAATGAGAGAAACAAAAAACAGAGAGGGAGAAAATGAGGGAGGAAAAGAGGGAAATGAGAGAGCAAGAAAAGAAAGAACAGGGAAAGAATGAAAAAAACAAAGTCAAGGATACCTATTTAAATCGGAATTTGATACAGCAAGCTTTATTCAGTCATGTTCATGGTTAGGAATGATGTGTCCTGGTAAATGCTTAACAGCCTGGTCTCTGGGGGAAATATGCATATATGTGTTTATATTGAATTGTATTAATATAAAGAGTGTGAAGCACAAGATTTACAAAGAATAATTAAAACACACAATATCCTTAATATTATAAATGAACTGACTGGTGCTCACACAAAACTAATGTTGCTTTATGCTGATCTCCAAAGACACCAACTGATTTATCAGTAGTTCCGACTTGAATGTTGGCTGGTATTTTTGTTTCTGGTCAAGACTAAGACGAAAGTTATACAACAGAGACGTATGTCAGAACTCCACTTGTTTGTCAGTTACGTGAGTGGCTTCTCTGCTGAATGATTAGTAGTTTGGGAAGAGTAGAAGAATATTTCCTCACTTTTGGTGTCATTCATAACATAATGGATAGAGATAAAACAACCTTTAAGATTTAATCTGTATTATTAACATTTTATCTATCACTTTCTGAAGTCTAAACAATCAACAAAACAATAAATCAAGCCCTGACTTACAGGGTTTGCCATTTCCTGTGACGCAAATACTCTCACCATGGCCAATTTCAAGTTATCAACCTGATGTCACTCAACACAGAAGTGGGAAGAGATGTATAGAAGAAAACCATATTTCTACACAGATACAACAGGTATGAGTAACCTCAAAAGCACAGATAATAGTAAAATGTAATAAAATTATTAAGGCGTGCTGAGTTTTGAGTATTTATTACTTTCGATTTTAATATTTTTATTTAATTTATAAATTTATATAATTTAATGTTTAATAATGACTGTATTAAACAACCAGCTCACAAAATTCTTGAAATGTAACAACTGGCTCTTAAGAGCTGGTACGTGCCAACTCCCACACATCTCTGGGTAGGAAGGAAAACAAACAGGTCGTAGGAAACTAACAATTATACCATTCTAATGGATTCTGGTTGTTATTAGGTATAAGAAATACGTTACGGAAGAATCCAAGGGCCTCTGACACATTTTCAGAGAGGAAAATAAAAGAATTAGCTGATATCTGAACATCTTTAGTGATGCTCAGTGATTCCTACAATCTAAGTTCCCTGCAGATCCACGTAGCATGAACCACACTCCAGATATGGAACTTCTAGATTGGGTCACATTTGGAACTTTCAGACTGGCCATGTGTATTGAGGTTAACACTCAGCACTGCACTCCCTGGCCTCACTCTTGTTCATTTTATTTCAAGCTGCGTATGTCTTTCCCCCTCACCCCCAGGCCCCGGTAGATGTCAATTCTTTTGAGAGCACGGATCAGTGCTGGATTATCCAAAAAGCATTTTAAGCTTGTGCTTAAGGAGCCAGAACACATGTTTCCAAGAAGAATTTAACATTTGAAGGTATGCATCAAAGTAGTCTGCATGAGAAAAATCAGATCTCATTGTGTTTCTTCTACTTATGTTACTGTCCATTTCAATGTTTTCATTTTGAATTATATAGGAGATGGAGGATGAGGTAGGTAAGAGATAGGATGGAGAACCAAAATCATACTGTAAAGAAAAGGTTTTTTGTTTTTTTAAATTTTATTGGGGAACAGCCATGGTCATTGGTTACACATTGCTTTCTTGCTACAATGGCATAGTTGATTCTCTTAGGAAGGGCACAGCTCACAGTGTCCCATGTGGGGATTGAACCGGCAACCTTGGTGTTATCAGCACCATGCTGTAACCAACTGAGCTAAGGTGTCACCCTGTAAAGAAAAGGTCTTAATGCAGCTTCACTTCTTCATTTTTGTGTCACCCCTCAGTACTCGAGCAATAGTTCAGCTCTGAACATAGGCAGCATTTAATCTGTATTTATCAAGTACATATAAAACAGAAGTATCAGCCATAGATGCTATGCAAAGTCTAAGAAGACAATCTTAGGCTGCCATTTTAGAAGCTGGGAGAGACTCGTTAACACAAGCTTCCTCAAAGTGTGAAACTGTCAAAAATGTCAATGTCAATGGCTCCCTAATACACAAATGAAGACTTCAAAATAGTATCAAAGCCTGATTTGCACTAAGATATTTATGTCTAAGAACGCTAACTTCCAATACCAGAATGCCAAACGGAATCCTCAGCTTTATGGAGTCTTCATTATTAGAAACATCACAAAGTCCCACTTTCCTAGTCTATTGAATGCAACACGAGGTCGTGCTTTTCCTCTAAACTAGCAGAGGCTAAAGGTAATACTAACAGAATGATCATAAAGTAATGGAGAATATGAAATAAAAGCAAAATGGCAGCTGACCATGTGACAGAACTGACAACAATTCAGTAAAGAGGATCAGAAGAACGCAGGCAGTGCTTTAAATGGTTGAACAGGAATAACATATACACTAATGCTATCTTTGATTCTGTTTGCAAAGACCTTTCAAGTTCCCAGGGAGTCTGTCCTGGGCCCTCTCTCTTCTCTGTACTCTGTTTGCTCCTCCACTCAACTGGCTCCAGCCACCTCCCAGGTGGCCGTGGACCCCTAACCCAGGTATTCGGTGCCTGTGTTCCTCTGAATTACACACTGGTACTATTTTCAGCGGCTTGCTTGACATCGCCATCTGTGTTTTCTATAGACACCTCAGCCTTGGTATAGACAGAGCGAATACCAACTCCCACCCACCCCATCAAGCCTCTTCCTTTGCCTCTACTTCCTGTCTGCTAACACTGCTCCACTCTCCAAACCAGTCATCCAAGCTGGCAACCTGAGGCATCCCTGACTCCTTCCACGTCCTCACCATTTCCACTTAATCATTCACAAAGTTCTATTCATTGCTCTGTTGCCACTGCTTCAGGAAGGACCCCAGCTCTTACCTGGACAATTCCATTCGCATTCTTACCTGTTCTGACTATCTGCCCCTGGCCTTTCATAATTCTAATCCATCAATGAGAAAGCAGCCAGAGTTACCTTTTCAAAGCACAAATCTGATTACCCAAGAATTTAGTGGCATCTCCTCCCTTTCTGAATAAAGATGAAATATTTTTGAAGAAACGTAAGGTCCTTATAATCCAACATATCAGCTTCATCTCCCAATGTTACCCAACTCATTCTACACTCTATCACTGAACTTCTCAAATGCCATGTTCATTTGCAATTCTAGCTGTTCTTTACATGTAAATTTCTCTGCATGAACGCCAATGCAAATCCCAGCTCCTTCATGAGCCAGCTCAAGTCTTCCAATCCCCCAGACAGAGCTAATAATTTCAACAGCAATTCGTATGTAGTTTAACCTGAGCATCTGTGAATATATGTTTTGTGCCCCATAGTATGCTATGAACATCTAGAGTAGAGATTATTCTCCCCATCCTTGCATTCCCAATGTTTTAAAGCAGCGGCAGAGGGGCTTGACACATCTACTATAAAAGGAAATAGCAGATAGTTGAAAATATCTCTTCTGTTTAAAGAATACGAGCCTCTGAGTGCACAAACCTTTAAGGGTTGTCGTACATGCCTGGACACGAACATTCTAAATTTACCTCACATTTACTGAACAATTATTAAGTACCTACTAGGTGCTATCCATTGGGGGGAGGGGAAGGGATGACAAAAAAAAAAATGAATGAGACATAGACCTGAAAACCACAGTACAATTTTGTTCTGCCAGCCACTTATCGAGGGGGCACAAAGGAAAAGGTTGTCAAAGTTACCTGGAGAAATGAGGAAAGGGTGGGATAAAAATTCACTGCCTTTGAAACCCAAGCCAAATATTAGATCCCAAAATCAAGTACGTAGATAAAATGGAAATCCCAGCTCTTTTTAAACATTAGCTATCGCCAAATGCTACCAGTTACACTAACTGTAAAATCATCACATTAAATGGAATACATTTCTAAACCTGAACCAACTGAGAAATTAATGCATTGTGATTAAGATATAAAAAAAAATACCAAATAGGCACCAGGAAACTTGATTTCTACCTTGGTTCTATATGAATTTTCTGTGAGACCTAGGATAAATTATTTAAGCCTCTCCATTTTCTCCTCAATCAACTGGAAATAAGAATAATAGCTACCCTCTATCTACTCTACAGGGTGCTGAAAAGGCAATGAAGACAACAGGTATGAAAATGCCCTGAACAAAAACAATCACTTTACAAATGTAAAATCTCAGTTACTAGAATTATGAAACACCTTTTGGAATGGTTCTTCATAAAGCAAAAAAGTGGTACCTCCTATTATGTTTGCTTATTTCTGCTGAAGGTAAAATCATGTTCCTCCTAAATTTAAAAGATAGAAGCATGTAATGGAAACCATCTCAAAGGTAGGCAAAGCCCACATTTTAGGATTCATTTATTCCTTCACTCATTCATTCAGTCTATCAACAAATGCATACTGATTATCAACCATAAACAGAATATTGTAAAAAAAAACACTATGTGAGGTGTTATGAAAAATATTCAACAATATATGAAATGGTCTATCCTCAGCATGCTTAAGATGTAAGAGATTTTCAGAAAAATACTGATACACATGTATGTATCTAGATAGAAGGATGGATATATATACATAGATATACACAAACACATATATTAACGGATATTAAAGTTAATATTCATTTCATATGACTTATAAAACGCATGTGTAAATGAATACATAAACATGAACACAGAATACTGGAACTCATTAAGCAAAGGGCTGTAGGACTCTGCAGGTCATAGCTGTAGCTACTGAAATAGAAAGACAAAGTGTATAAAGGTTTATTTATTTTTTTGCCATGAATCCTTTCAGCCACACATAGAAAAGAATATCTTCAAATGCCAAGCAAAAAAAGCAGTTAAATATGTTAACGTCAGTAGGGGTGGGAGGAGGGTATGGACAAGTCTACCCCTTTTTATAAGGTGAATTGGCAGAAAAATAAAGTCCCAGAGTTTGAAAAGAAAAAAAGGGATCCTTTTATTCCTATAATAGCAAGCACCAGGGCAATTAAGAAAGTTCACTCATACTATGGATACTAAAACTCTCAAGATCCTGATTTGGTAAAATCTGCATAAAATTTCCAAGTCAGAAATAGTTGAGGAAATTTTTTAAATGTTCTATATTATGCAGTCAAAAATAAGTCAGGATCTCAGTGGGAAGACGTCTACACCAAATACATTGCTTCTTGGAATTAGTTATATATATTTGAATTAATTTCCATATCACAATTTCTAACCACATTCATCAGTAACGCAATGAGTGTTATCTGTGGCTTACCGTTTATTTGGATCCTTTATCAAGAGCCCTGAAAGCAATGATTTTGCATCTGAAGAGAGTGTTCGTGGAAATTTAATGTCTTCCATTAGTATTAGTTCAAAAAGTTTCTCATGATCCTGGTTGTAAAAAGGTAACCGCCCACACATCATTTCATACATGACAACACCGAGGCCCCACCAATCCACAGCTCGGCCATAGTCATTATCTTCTAATACCTAAAAGGGAAACCAGTAAAAAGATTGCTTATTATACATTCACTTTTAAAGCATTATTTATAAAACATAAGGTTTTTACATAAAAATGAATCCTAATTTTCAAAGCCTAGGTAGGCTATTTTTAGATCTTGACATTTAAACTATGAAGCATCCTACAAACGATATAAATCATACCAAATAGGTGAAATTTTCCATTTTTCCAGAAATGGTCAGTGTAAAAGCAAGAGGTTAAGTCCAAGTAAGCAATTCCAAGTAAGCGAGTATATGAGTGCACTAAGGATCAAATGAAAAACGTTAGCATATTTGCATATATTCTCTTAGGCCTACTTAATTTTTCTTTCTGGTTCACTAATAGGGACTTTAAGTAACAACTCAGAGCTCAGACATGCTGATTATAGGGTGTATAACGCACCTTACACATTCCAGCATTAAGAAGAACTGAGTAACACAAAGAGTGCAAGACAGAAGTAAACACACACAATGTCATAGAGAATTGTACAGGGCATGGTCATCAGGAAAAAAACTCTGAAAAATTGTGGCGCCCCCTCCACATTTAAACTCTGAGGAAATATTTAGTCAACAAAGTGAATATGAAGATTTATTGTCTGGAGTGTAATAAACTTTGGTATCCAAAGCTTTAGTACCTCACAACAATTTCTGTTCAACACAAAAAACAAAAATGGACTCAATACCTGTAAGGTATGTGCCCTTAAATTTGTTTTCCAAAATACATTAGATGGAAAGCAAATTTAGTAAGAAATGACATGGAAGCATCAGGCTATGTTAGAGCAATTTGTTCAAATCAAAACATGGTAACTTGCCACGTGTCCCAGGGAAGCTTTGAGTCTACCTTTTTATTAGATGTATTCCTCATCCAATGGAATTCAGTGCATTTATTTGGAACTTTCAGTATTTTATTTAAGTTACTCTATTTAAATCATTTTAATGCTTACTTTTTCTGATCCTCTTAACTTTGGGATAAACAGATCAAGAAAACCATACACATGAAATTTATCAATTAAAAAAGCTTATAACTGATTACATAAGAGAGAATTTGATGTAGAGTGAAGTAGTACTCATGTTCCAAACTTTCTTAGTTTGAAATAAGTAAAAACGCTGTTGAAGATTACTCCTATGTGACTTTTATTTAAAATTTACCAATAATTCAATTTCGTAGACTTGTACATGATATTTTTGATAATTAAGGCACTTTGGTAGGCAGGGTATTTAAGGAGCATATAATTTCAAGAAAAAACTACGTTAACTTAAAGATCTATTTAGAAGTGTTTTCAAATGCTACAAAAACATTTTAAATTCAATCGTTTCATTGTTTGTTTCATGGCTAAAGAGGACTACGAATTACACTGGCAAGATATGAACAGAGTCCAGTTCCTATGCTTTTCCAAAAATATTTTGTAAATCAGAAGGTAAGCAAAATATTTTCAGGAAAAAACCCAACAAATTCTTGTTTCCATCATTAGCCAAAATATTTAAAATGTCTGTTTGTTTGAAATGAGTAATGTAAGAACACACAGAAAACAAGAAATAACCTAAAGAAACAGAAGAATTCTACTTGTGTACTTAAGTTAAAGGAAATGCTGCCTATATAATTTTTAAATACCAGTCACTTTTGATTATTCAAGAATCTATCTCATGTCCAATTAGTAGAATGTACTGTTTTGGAGCCTTTATCTTCTAGATCCAGGATTTTACCTAATACTTAAACATTTTTAAATCTAAGTAATCTTTCACTGCATTCCTACACCACCAACAAAACAGTGGCACACACAAAAAAGAGCCAAATGTGGTTTTTAACCTCTTTTTTTTTTTTCATAAAACCATAAAAAGCATAAAAGCTGGATTAACTGCCTCCCGAACCCACATTTCACCAGCCGGGTTCTCATCCCCAGCTGGCAAAACTGGCAGTCCTTTATTTTTGTTTAAATACCTGGTTTGCAGCCAGAGGGAAAGTGAGTACATAAAAAAAAAAAGCGTTTTATTTTTGAAGAGAAATAAGCATCAGAAAAATAAAACTGCATTGTAAAAAAATCTGTTTGAAAAACTAAAATGTACTTTATTTAGCTTTGTAAAATGAACACTGATTCTGAAACTAAGTGGTTTTGCTTCTGAGCATAATGTGCTTTAATTGATATATAGATATAATGCACAATTAAAACTACTTGCTGTATCATTTTGTACTGAACAGATCTGATGTAATATAGTATCTTTCTGACACGTAAACTTAAAGCAATGTTGAAAAATACCCTAACAACTCAGCCATCCTTCTTTATGTAAGAATCTTTACCATCAATTAAAAAGAAAGATTTCTCTTCAACTCCTACCTCCAAACAGATGGAAGATGAAATACACAAGAAATAAAAAATAAAAGTGATTATAATATTCTACATGCAGATAATAATATAAAACATGTTACCATTACTCATATAATGTCCTTTCTCTCCTTAAATCTAAATTATTTCAAAACACAATAGTTTGAAATACTCTAGAAATTCAAGTGTGAAATGAAAATCCACAGCCTCTTTTACATTATTTTTGGAAGATAATTTTCTCCCTTACTCAGAGAAATTCTTTTTCCAAAATTGCAGTAACATAGAAAATTTATATTCTTTAACCTAAGAGCTGCAATTCCTTCTGGTTACCTCTGATGGTATGTTTTTTCCTAGCAAAAAGGCTAATTTACTTCATGGTTATCATCAGGGCTGATGCAAAGGGTGTATGTATGGTAAATGGTAACGTGGAGGTACAGCCATGGTAGTGTATATTTCAACTCCATTACAATGCAATTTATCATATAATGTTGATATAAATTAAATCAAAACTTGCTCCTAGAGAAATAATACACTAAGAGACTTGTCTTAAAGAATTAATCTAAAGAAAGTGTCCCTTTGCCATAAAAATCAATGTTACCGACATTAAACAAAACTCAAGGTTTAGATATGGATATAGACATTTGGGTTTTCCTTCTATCCCTATTGTTCTCTGTAACCATAGATGTAGATTTACTTTATAACTACATTTAACACAAATGCCCCAATAGAGATAAAGCACAACAGAGGATATAAATGTTAAAAAATGATGATAGGCCACATCAAAGCAATACCCAAACAGTGCACAAACTCCAGGAAACAAGACATGGTTTCAATGTTTCCACCAGTAGCCAGAGATTGCTGATAAATAAAACCTAAAACTCAAGGAGGTCACAGCAGGTACCAATTACTATTAAATATTCTTGCAATATTTGAGTAATATTTGGTAGTATTTGATGTAGACACTTTCATTTATAAGACAACCAGGTGAGTTAAAAAAATCACCATAAATAGCTCTTGATTGGTTATTCATTTAAAAGAATAACATTAAATAACAGACCATCCATTTTTAAATGATACCATCAATGAATGACCAATGCAAATATTTATTTGGCTAGTGGACACTTTCAAAAGCCATATTCCAATATCCTTTTATCAATCAGGATTTACTGGGAGGTTGAAGAAACACCTCTCAGCTTGTTCGTCAAGACCACACAATGCACCCAAGGTAGACAATTAGAAGGAGCCTATGTATGCCCTGGAGTGGCTTACTGCTCGATCAATAATCCTGACAGAACAGATGGGGGAAAATTAAACATCTAAACAAACTCTCTGCACACCTATGTTGTGAAAGTAAACTGCGAACTTGGATAGACCAATTTACCGTTAATTCAAAAAAAATTTTTTTTTCCTGGTAACCTTATATTTCAGGTAACTGATACGTGTGTGTTATATATAAACACACACTTATATACTTTATCATTTATGGGAACCCTTTGTATAATCTTAACAACACAGGAATTTACTTGGAAAAATAAAAGACCTATAAGTCTTCTAATTCATATTCTAAAATGTACTGCAGCTTCAAGCAAAGTATATATTTCATAAAAATTACGAATTCCGTGGGTTCTTGGTATTTTCTTCATAAATATATATTCGCAAGTGCTCTAATAATTCTTAAGAGACTGAAACTGGAGCTGCCATTTGCTGTGAATTAGGATGCTGTAAGCTTCTGACTATTCCAGGCACTCACACACAATTCTTGGATATAGCTAACATCGTACTTTCAAAAGCAGTCTCTGGCTAAACAGGCAACATTCTTGAACAAGAGAAAAGCTTAAGTGGATACAATATTGGTGACTAAATCATACTTACACATATCTTTCCAGAGACTTCTATACTTCCTTTTAAACCTGAAGCAGCAGACATTATGGGATTCCCAGAAACTGGGTCTTGCTAATCCAAGTAAAAACAGCCATTGTAAAATATTACAGGTTATCAGTAGCGTTACCACGTAGGACTAGTTCTCTTATGTTCTTATGCATCAGAGAAGTTCAAATCAAACTTTGTGCTTAAACTAGAATCATTCTAAAAACTGAATGCAAATATTCTGACTATTAAAACCAAAAAACCACATAACAATGAAAAAAACTTTAGATGAAAAACAGTTACTACAAGAACTGACAGACTCTTAGGCAAGTAAAAGCCGCTACTTATAAACACATGACAGACATTAACATTGAACTAAAAAATATCATTTTAGTTCACGTTTTAAAAATGTCCAATTTGGGGACAAAATGGGTGTGTTTTAGTATTATCCAGAAACAGTATAAGTATTAAGCCAACAAATATGACAGGAGCTCTTAAATATGAATTCTAACTATAAAGCATATAACTTTTACCCAAACTCATCACTGTGATCCTTTCTGTAACTTCCCCCTTAATACTGGTGAGGAGACCTTTTCAAAACCATCAGGAAGATGAAGGCTTTCAAAAATACCTTAAGAGGACAGGTGTTTCATGAATTATTAATAGTTAAATAAAATGTTAGGAATGTACGCCGTTTTAGAAAGGCTATTAAAATGACTTTTTATTTTTATAAAAAGCTTACAAGTTTTAAGACCCATTTTCACAATCTGGTAGAAACAGTAGAATTTTGTCCAAGGGCTAAGC